AGGAGACATAGGCAAAGCACAGACTCTTCATAGGGAAAAGTTCTCACACTGTATTTTCAAAAGCGTTTTTGTTTTGGGGTTTTTTTTGTTTTGTTTTGGGTTTTTGTGTGTGTGTGTGGCTGGCCTATATAGGGATCGACACTTAGACCTTGGTGTTACCAGTACCAGGCTCTAATCAACTGAGCTAACTGGTCAGACCCACAAAAGTGTTTTTGTCTCTTGTGGACCTGACCCAAAGTTGAAAAACAATATTAATATTTTAATATGAACATGAATTTATTTTATTATTACATACTAATTATACAAAACTTAGAAAATATGAAAAAAGCCAAAAAGTATCTGAAAGAAAGTGAGCCAAGATGCCAGGTATCGTTCAAGCTTTATTAAAGGAAAAGAATCTGCCAAGTTGTGCTCAAAGTGGCAGGCAGCCCAGGGCTGCCCTAAAAATGGGGGACAGTAGTGGACAGCACCAGGTGTGGGGGTGGTAGAGCTTATATAGTGCACCAAGGGCTGGCTGATACCATCAAGGAGGGGCATTATGTTAATGTGGAAATTATGCAACCAGGATGGAGAAACCCTTGCAGAAGCAAAAGGGTTTCTGTTTAAGTCAGGAGGCTTCTGTAAAGGGAAGAGGGGAGGGTTTGGTGCTGGAGTGGAAGACCAGGCCAGCAGCTATTTTGTGCTTATTGTGTGCACAATGGTGCCGGTCACATCCAAGACCCATCAGTATCCACTTACCTATGATCCAAAGGTAAATATTATGAATATTTTAAAGGGTTTTAATCTATTTTCCAGTCTTTATGCAAGAGTTTTGACCTTCTTTTCTTTTTGAATATAACATACTCCACTTTCCATCCTGCACGTGGCAGACCTGTTGGTCGGCTGGTCAGCAGTCCTTCCTCTGTCTTCAGATCCAATTATAATTAGCTATTGGGCAAGAGCTTAGAGGCTGGATGCGCAGCTTCAGAGGGGATTTTTTTTTTTTTTGGCTGCTGGTTGGTAGGGGGCCAGAGGTGAATTTTGATTGGACTAAGCCAAACATGGAATTTTGCCCAGTTGGCTGGCGATTAGATTAGGCCTGAGCATGACTTGCAGTTCTAGAAGAGGCCTGCTTGGGCGGAGGGGAGGGGCTGCTCAGCCATGACAGTGGGGCAGCAGGTGGTCTCCCCTGTGAGGTCTGGACTTTCAGGAGCATCCAGTGACCTTGCAGGGTCAAGCTTGAGGGGAGAAGTCTGAGGATGGCAGACACAAGGACAGAAACCACGTGTGTTCCCGACGATGTTCCTGAGTTGCTGCAGCCCTGTCCAGACTCAAGTCATGCCAGCCCGGGCCTGGCCTACTGGGCGTGTCTAGTTGAGCTCCTGGAACCCAGCCAGAAGGGGAGGGACCGACAGACACACCCGGCCCCACTCTTAGAACGGCAGTGTGCTGTGTTCCTAGTGCTCTTCCTAAACGTTATTTATGTAGACCGTTCCAACGAGTATTATTCCGTGATTTACTTAATTGGTCCCATATTGTTAAATAATGATGATGATAACAAGTTTTCTCGTTTCATTCATGATACTAATAGAAATGCTAGGAATGGTAGTAAGAATACTAGTTCATGCCTCTTTTGTTTTCTTCTGTTATGCCAGAAACTGAGCCAAGTACATTACTCATACCTCTTATTTAGTCTTCAGAAAAATGAGTGTTCTATTATTATCCCCATTTTATAGTTGAAAAGCTGAGAGATTAGAGAGGTTATGTAACACATCCAAGGTCACATAGCTAGAAGGTGACAGAGCCACCTCAAAGACAATGCTCTTCTATCATATAGGAGGCTACTTCAAATTTCGTGGAAAAATGGAATTAAGAGATCATACGAATCTTTCCATGAACTTTTTCAAGACCCCTCCTATATGCATATACATGCATGCGCATATATAAATATGTTATAAAATATTAAGATGCTCTTTTAAAATAAGTTCACTTATGTTAAGAAAGCGTCCTTAATTTCTACTTTTTAAAGGGTTTTTTTCCAAAAAAAAAAAAAAAGAGAGAAATAGGCATTTAATTATTGAATGCTTTTTATATCTACTAAGATAAGCTTATTTTTT